ACGCGTGAGTGAGGAATCTGCTATATACTAGTTGGGATTACCTCCCCCCCATCCAGGGAAGAATTTTATCTTGATATTTCAGTTACACCATGTTTGTTGGCTTTGGCAGAGCCTCCTAGATAATTGTCCTGTTATCTGCTAAGCTCTTTCGTTCAGTCATGGATCACGGAAATGTTTGGGAACAACCAGAACTTTGCACACACTTGACCATGAGTCACAAATGACAAGCCCTTTATTCTAAGTTGGACAGAGTCTGTAGGTCATTAAGTACTGACTTCCCATCCATTTGGGGATCTTCTTAGAATATAGTAACAGAGGGTCACAGTATACCTTTTTTCCCTAAGGATTTACTTATGTTATATGTATGTGTGTTGTGTGTTCACTTATATCTGTGTGCTACATGCATGCCTGGTTCCCTCAGCGGTCAGAAATCCCCTGGGATTTCTGGAACTATAGGTGGTTGTGAGCACCATGTGGGTCCTAGGAACTGAACTCAGGTCCTCTGCAAGAGCATCAAGTGCTCTTAACCACGCCAGCCATCTCTCCAGCCCCCTTACATTACACTTCAAAGCATGTGATGCTCATTGCCACAGACTCACTCACTGCACTCGGCTTTTATGTATGCTACAGCTTGTGTTTGCACAGCGACCCCTTTCTTTACCAAGCCGTCTCCTCACACTCTGCCCCCAACACTTCCTCACTCTCAGGAAATATGGTACTTGAAGTCTTAGCCAGAACAATAAGATAAGATTAGGAAAACAAACGAGATACAGACTGGGTGAGAAATCAGTTTCCATCTTTGCGGTTGATATCATCATACTCAGAGACTCTGAGAACCCCACCGGAAAACTCAAGAGCCGATAGTCACTTCCATCAAAATAACAGGATGCAAAATTCACGTGCAAAAGGTAGCCTTCCTATCTACCAATAACAAAAGTCCCGAGAAAGTCAGCCACATTCACAATTACCTCAAGAAATGCCTCGGAACAAACCTAACCAAGGACGTGAAAGAGCTCAGCAGTGAAAACTTCAAAACACCGAAGAAAGATGGGAAACCCCCGTGCTCATGGGTTGGAAAATTTAATATTGTGAAAACGACTATGCTACCAGCAATCTACAAATCCAGTTCAATCTCTGTCCAAATTCCAGTATCGTGTTTTTTTCACGAAAATAGAAGAAAATTTTTCAATTTGTATGGAAGCAAGAAAGACCCCAGGTAGACAAAGCAACCCTGAGAAAAAAGAACAGTGACAAATTGATTCATAGCGCGTTCCAGGGACTACAGAGCGGAAGCAGCAAAACAGCAAGGGAACAGCCATCCAGACCAGTCACGCAGAAGAGAGGACTAGATGCTAGCACGCAGTTACAACTGCCTGGATTTTGACCAGATTTTAAGCGTATACAATGGAGAAAAGAGTCTTCTCAACAAATGATGGTGGAAGGAGGAAGCTAGAGCCTTATGGCTTGCCGTACACGAAGATCAACACTAAGTGGATCCAAGGCCCTAGCATAATCCCCCCCCCCAAACTCTGAAACCAGCATGGAGAACATTCCCAGGTGTTAGCACCGGGCTGGAGTGGATAAGAGCGCTTGCTGCTCTTCCAGGGAACTGGGGGTTCGGTTCCCAGCTCCCGCGTTTGGCTGCTCACAGCTGCCCGTGTGGGTCCAGCTCCAGGGACTCTCACACTTCTTTGGCCTCCTCATGTACCTGCACACATGTAAATAAAAAATAATCTCTAAAAATGATACTGGCGGGAACTTTCTGAATAGGACTCATAAGGCAGCTAACGAATGTGATTTCATGACATGGAAACTGTCTACACAGCAAAGGAAACAGCAGAGGGATGACACGGCAAGATGGAAGAAAATCTTTGAAATCTGACGGAGAATTAATATCTAGATTACAAAAAATGAACCAAATAATAAATGGGCTAATGAATGGACAGTTACCAAAAGAGAAAATACAAATGGTTCTGTAAACATGAAAAACTGTTCAACTGGCTCCCAGAGAAATGCAAATAAAAACTACATTGAGATACCGTCTCACCCCAGTCAGAATAGCAGTCGCTAGAACAACATCAAACAGCGATGTGGGTATGAACAAGAGAGAGCCCATATGTGCTGCTGGGAGGTTGTGGGCTGGTCAAGTCACTGTGGAAATCAGTATGGAGTTTCCTCAAAAGACAGAAAAACAAACAGAAAAAACAAAAGCCCCACCATGTGACCCAACTATATACTGCTCCTGGATGTTCTTTAAAGGACTCCAGTCAACACAGGACAGAAACGACGACACATCAGTGTTTGTTGCGGCACTGTTCTCTATAACTAAACTGTGGTACCTAAGTATCCATCAGTATAGGAATGGATAGAGAAGATGCAAGGTGTACTCAAAATGAACTGTTTTCAGCCATGAAGAAGAATGAAGTTGTCATTTGAAGGAAACGAATGATGGAGATCATTGTGTTAAGCAAATGAAGTCATCCTCAGAATGACAGATTCCAATGTTTTTATAGATATATAAAAATCATGTGTGTCTAGGGAAATTCAGAGAACTAAAGACAACCAGAAAGGGGAGGTTAGTGAAATTGGAGGCAGGGTGTGTTCTGTTCAAAGCATCTTATACAGTTACTTGCCTTGTATAAGCAAATCTTAAAAAAGGTAATTTTGCTGAGAAGATGCCTTAGTCTGTAGGATGCGGGGTGTATCAGCATGAGGACCTGACTTCCATTCTCAGCATCCGTGTAAAATGCTGGTTGTGATGGTCATGCATGTAATCCAGGACTGGAGAGGCAGACATACAGACCCCTGGGGCTTTGTGCCCAGGCAAGCTAGGCTAATTAGAGAGCCCAAGCTCCAGTGAGGAAGTCGGGCTCAAAAAGATAAATTAAAAAATAAACCAAGAGGATGGTGCCTGAAAAATAATACCCAGGGTTGACGATGGATGTACACACACACACAACATATGCTGCACATATGCATGCACGTTCGCACACACATACTGTAAACGCTTAGTATATGTAAAACTGCTGAAAAGGAATGATAAATACCCAAGGTGATGTCAAGTCAGTTACTCCCATCTGATCATCACACACTGTAGCCGCCTATGGAAATGTTGCATTGTAACCCCAAAGTAACATGTGCAATTACTATGTATCAATTCAAAAATTTTTAAAAAGAAAAACAGCATGCTTCTGTCTTCCTTGCACCTCGGCTACTTTGTCTTTTGCTCCAAGTAAATGAGGTCGCCTGTAACACCCGTGACAAGCCCAGGGGTGGGCCTCCCAGCTCTGAGTCCTTATCTCCACTGCCTACATTCTATCTGATATCTCTAGCAACAGTTTTTTTTCTCGGCATCGTTTGTGTAAATGCAGGTTTGTTCTGGTGTTTCTGTGTTTTCTGTACGGGTTCTCCCTCCTGGGTTGTGTGTCCAAGTTCTATGCTTTAACACCAAGCTAGACCTAGCCACGTGTCTGTGCATTTGCCTGAGGGGCGCAGCTGCCATGCCACATCCTGGTGCACACGCCCACATCCCCCTGCTTTGAAACAATTGCCCAGCTTGCCTTTGGGACTTTATGTAAGCCCTGCACCATTTCTGCTAAGCTACAGCTTTGTAGATGTGTGGCGTGGCCTCTCTGCAAACACATTCTGTTGTCCTCAGGTTCACACCCGATAAGGAAGCAATCCCCAAACCCTAAAATGCTGTTCCCAAAATGTTTCAGCAGCTTTCAAGTGAACTGAAAGTTAAACCTCCTACCCCCTGGGAAGCACATGCAGGCAAACTCGTGGCCGCTCCATCGGAAAGTGCTGAGCTAGACATCTGCTCCCATTCTAAAATAACCCATGACTTTCAGCCCGTCACCACACTACTCCGACTTACATTTTCCTCATCCAAAATCAGATGCATCAGCCCTGTTCCAGGGTGGTGGCGGTGCTGTGTAGACAGATACCTGTTTTGGGTTGTATGGCAAGTAATACTGCAATTTGTCTATAGGTATTTTGATTGAGAGTTCAAAAAATGTTATAGGAAAATAAAATACTGGTGATTCTGGGCATTTCAGATTCAGGGTTCCAAAAACACTGTCACTGGGTCTCCATATTACCTAATCTAAGTGTGTACGTTACATTTTGGAGAAGTAGTATCATAATTTCTGGTAGGTTTCTATGTGTCCTCACACTTCAGAACGGAGTTCTTTTAAGTAGGTATTGTTTGTGGAGAAATAGCATTACTTTGGATTTCTTGTGTAGTCTTGGGGTAGAAGATAAAGGAATTGAAAATAAGGGAGAGACTTTTGTTGTGTTTTAATCTCCACCTCTGAAGTGTAGGGAACATCTCCAACAGCTAACCCTAAGCACATGAAAACAGGACTCATAAGTGGACCTTTGGGGCCTGATTCTGGTGTGGCCGCCCTCAAGGCTCCACGGTGGTGTCTGGGGATCACTGTTCTTTGGGAAGCCTGGGGGATTTATAGCCAAACCTGCAAAGTTCATTTTCAAGCTCCTGGCGCCCCACCTCCTCATATTTCTGGAGACATGCCAAGGACTTCCAAGTGGCCCTGGGGGCTTAAAATGATTGCGCTTTCTGTTCAAGGCAGGATATTTGTTGTTACATCCACTTTTTACTCAAAACTATGTGTTTGAGGGCACTGAGGCAAAGGTGCCATCTATATTTTCGGCATCCACAGTGCTTTAATTATGATTGTTTTACCCTGTGTCATTTTTACCAGAACTAGGAACACAGTCAGTCTTGTGAATCTCTCTCCCTCCCTTTCTTTCGTTTTCTCCTCCTGACTCTCCTTTTTCCTTTCTTTCTCTTCTGTTCCCTTCCCGCCTCCCATCTCAGTCCCCTTCCTCGGTCCTCTGCATGGTTCCTTAGTGATCAGCCCAGCCAACCAGATGACTGAAGAGTTTCTGTGGGAGGGGAAAGGCAAGCGCGCCAACCCTTGCTCACTGGCAGTTTGGCCTCGGGTTCTCACGCCTCGTGTGTTCTCTTCCTCTCCCAGGGTGTCCTCTCCAACATCTCGTCCATCACTGACCTCGGTGGCTTTGACCCTGTGTGGCTCTTCCTCGTGGTGGGAGGAGTGATGTTCATTCTGGGGTTCGCAGGGTGCATTGGCGCACTTCGGGAAAACACCTTCCTTCTCAAGTTCGTAAGTATTGCCACCAGCTCCACTCTCGGTTTGAGATCCAGGCTCTTACACCAAGGTGACACTCTTAACTGCAGACAAGATGGTAAGCACACCAAAGGCCTAGGCAAAAGAAAAAAAAGGCCCATCTTTATTTCAGGAGGGCTCTTCAATAGTGTGTTGGACCTCCTCCCCTGCCTCTGCCCTAGACGTGCCTCTTTGGCCGTCTGAGTACCACCCAGCCTTGTCATGCATGGAGGCTTTGTAAACTTGTCTCTAGTCCCTGAAGCGGCCTTAGGAGTGCATAAGTGTGGTGGTGTGTGCTGTCTGTGTGAGCGCACACATGTGGCTGGCACAGGTGATGGTCTCGGAGAACGAGGCCCTGGCCCTGTCCTGCAGCCTGTCGAGCTTGTGTAGTTTGGATAGACATGGTGATGCCTTCAAGGCGGAATCCTCCCTTGGATGAGCAGTGCCTGTTAGCTACGTTCCAGTGTGTGACTGACTACTGTGTTTGTAGAGGAGGGCGTTAGCCGGAGGGAGGTAAGTGTTTGGGGCTGAGTAGGGAATGGACGGCGAAGGCCTTCCCTCCCTTTGGCGCTCCTCTCCAAGCAGACCAGTGGCATAAATAACATCCTTGTATCTTAAGTAAGAATGGCAAACATGGCTACCTCTGTGAAACTTTGCAGATATTTGGTATGGATTGAATTTGGCCTCCTTATGTGTGGGGGTTGGCGTTCTAAGGATTTCTGTAGGAAAAGGCATTCACTCTCTCCAAAGGCAGAGGAAAGGTAAGAAGGACCCATCTTCCTGTGATGAGGAAAGACTCGGAAATTTCGAGAAACCAGCTTTGTGAGCTACTGCCTGCTGTTGTAGCCATTCACATCTTCTAGGGTCATTTTCACTTAAAACCAGAGCTTGTCCTAGAACTCGTCTGAACAACCACAGAGCATGTCTGCCGGATTGATCTCTGACATCTCTTCCTGAACATCTCGAAGAGGAGAGCCACCCTTCCAGTCCTAGGGTTGAATTGGGACAGCTCCTGCTCCCTGAGAGTCTCAGTGGTTTCCCTGACTCTTTCCATGTGGCTCCCTCCAGGAGGGAAGACCTGGGTCTCAGACATGGTTTAATGAGGAGCTAGCTCCCTTTTCCATGTGCCTGGTGGAAATGGCTAGTTTCCCATGGTTCTAGCTGCCTTGTCTTCCAGACCCTGTTCTAAACGGGCACACACAGAGGCTTGTGTGACCCCTCACTCCCTATCCCCACAGCTTTTTTCATGGAGTCAAGGAACTATGTAGTCCCTCCAAGGTATGTTTGTCCCTGATCATGACCGGCTGCCAGTCTTATTGATATGAGGCATCTCTAAGTGCCGACTTACTTAACCATTGAAGTTTCCATGTTCCCAAATGTGGGGTCCCTTTAATATGGTGTCCTTGAACATGACTTTGTTTATTAGAGCAATCCCCTTCCTAAAGTCTCATATCAGATATGAAAGAGTGGCGTTCTTACCTTTCCATCTTGGAGAGTATTTAAATGGCCTCTCTTTGTTTAGTACTAACAGTAGAAACGGGCCTTGAACTCTCTCTGAGCAGGAGCTATTGTTGAGTAGGAAATAATGTCAGCATGCCTCCAGACAACCTCAAAGACAGGTTGCCCCAACACTAGGAAAATTGCTGGGGGAAATCCAAGAGGTATGACTGTGAATGGAAGTGGTGTTTCTAGGCTGACCAGTGCCCTGAAGTGAAGTTTCAGGTCACTTTCTGCACCTTTGGGAAGGGGGGAGTTAGCTCACAGAGCTGGGCATGTGGGTCTCTGCCAATATTTGAAATGGATTGAATTTGGACTCAATATTTGATGTGTATATTATATAACTTGAGAGGATTTTCCAAGGCAGCTGGAAAGTGAACTTTCCTAACCTTTGTGGGGGTGAGACCAGAAATCCAGAGTCTTTGTGCGAATGTCCCGCAGTTTCACAGACATGCATGCCAATTTGGGTTTTATTCTTTCTGTGGTGCGAGGCCTGTATACGTCCATGTCTGGGGTGCTACCTGTACAGGGAAGGGGGTTGTTTTATATGGAGAGGAGAGCAGGGAGCACAGATGCTGATTTTGTCTTTTCTAAGGAATCTCAGTTTGAAGTTATTGGTGGCACTGATAACTAAGAACTTTACATTTTATCTCCAGAGAACTCACAGAGGGCAGATAGATGAGCAGCAGCTCGGTGAGAGCCTGGAAGGCTGAGGTGAAGGGCCAGGAAGTGGAGCCTGCGCCCTGGCATCGTAGACACTGCTTTGGTCCTTCCGGTCCCCTTCCCTCACTCCCCACAAAGACACACTTGCCACTCCATACATGAAGAGAACAGCCGGGCAGTGGTGGTGCACGCCTTTAATCCCAGCACTCGGGAGGCAGAGGCAGGCGGATCTCTGTGAGTTAGAGGCTGGGCTGGACCGACAGCCTCCAAAACAATACAGAGAAACCCTGTCTCGAAAAAAAAACAAAAAAACAAAAACAAAAACAAAAAAAAACATGAAGAGAACGGCCACACCTGCTGTCTCCCCAACGCGTCCCCCACGTTTCACCTCACAAATCGGTTTGAGGAGGGTACAGATGCAGGAGGAGGGAGGTGTGGAAGGGCCTGTGGGCGGAGCAGCAGTCAGGATGACTGAGATGATACTCTGAAGTACAGGAAAGGAAGTTTCCCCAGGGTTCTGAGCGGTTGCCCCAAGGCCTCACGCTTTCCAACCTTATACCTTGTTATCTGCCTTAGCCAGAAGTCTCCTTTAGATTGCACTGTGGTGTTATTTAAAGAGTTTCCTGAGGCTGCTGCTTCCCAGACTGGAAAGCCCTTAACCCAGGGTTCCATTTTCACTGGAAATTGTTTTCCTGTCACACTCACAGCTCCTCCTACTTCCTCTCTGACCTCTTTAAGATGAACGGGTCTGTTTCACACTGTATGGGATGCAAAGGAGGAATTAAAACAGCTAATCTAGAACACGGTACATGTGGAATCAAGCCATGGGGGCAAATGACAGGCGATCGTAAAACATGGGATGTAATCTACCTTTCAAGTTAGCAAAAAAGGCCTCCTAGAGGTCAGGCAGAACATTGTTCATGTGTCTGGCAGTACATTAATCACAGGCAATTCATTAGGCCTTAATGTGGGTCTAATGAGAAATTCCTATTACTCATGTTTGATTTGGGCTTTGTTGGTTAATTATCAAATGGAACCCCAGAGACTCCAAAATGTGATTATGAAGTGATCTTTAATTTTTAGAAGTCCTTTTTTTGAAGTATAATATTCCATTAGCAAACCTGAAGAAGCAGAAGGCTCCAGTTTGGAGCTGTGTCCCCGTTGAATGTAATTACAGCCCTTTTCAGAGCGTGTGTTTGCGGGGGGGGGGACTAACGCCACGTGATCTAAGCCTTGTGACCATTCTCTGTTGTATGTTTCTTTCGTCGTAGTTTTCTGTGTTCCTGGGGATTATTTTCTTCCTGGAGCTCACTGCTGGGGTGTTGGCGTTTGTTTTCAAAGACTGGATCAAAGACCAGCTGTATTTCTTTATTAACAACAACATCAGGGCTTACAGAGATGATATTGATTTGCAGAACCTCATAGACTTCACCCAGGAATATGTAAGTTCAAACTTCCTTTCCTCTCCAGTGGAAACAGCTTCTCCCAGGGGGGACTCCCATAATGCCTTGTGTGTCTTTCCAGCTGGAGGCCAGCAGCCGACTCCTCCGCCTGGCTTCCAGTTGTTTGTATACTTGTTTGCTTCCTAGCTCCATGGTTTACCTTTGTACCCTAAACAGGAGTGCTCTGCTCCCTCTTGCTTCAGCTTGCGATAAATTAGAGGAAGGAAGACATAACTCTTAAGCAAAAAGGTGATCACCGTGGCTGTACCCGTCAGCCCCGGAGAAAATTGCTTTTCTGTACGCTTGAAGTTCTGTTTGATTAAATAGGAATTTGCCTTTTCCTTCCCCTACAGCCCACAATAATTAACAGGATATTTGTTCATAAAGTTGCTCAAATGTGGGGCTGGAGAGATGGCTCAGAGGTTAAGAGCACAGGCTGCTCTTCCAGAGGTCCTGAGTTCAATTCCCAGCAACCACATGGTGGCTCACAACCATCTGTAATGAGATCTGGTGCCGTCTTCTGGCATGCAGGCAGAGCACTGAATACATATAAGTAAATAAATCTTTAAAAAAAAAAAAAGCTGCTCAGTGCCTGACCAGTTACCACATGTGTACAGTCCAAAACAAAAGTTGGAGACTTGTAAGCCTATCCCCGCCTGCCACAGTCTGAACATGGCTGTGTGACTGAACATGACTGTGTGACTGCTCCTGTCCTGCCAATAGAACGGGCAAATGTCATGCCACTCAAAATGCAAAGTGGCATGGACGGGAAGCCGAGAGACACACAGTCTCATTACTGTGGACTGACAGAAACTTGAACTCTTTCCCTGACAGTGAAAAGAGAGTGAAAACGAGCTATTGTCTAATTCCTGTGGATATCCGGACGCTCGAATGATGTGCGTGGTCTCAGTAGGCCTGAGATGCTATTGGCCTAAAGATTAGCAGGCCCTCACACTCCTTCACTGGAAGAGTAGGAGTGGCCAAGCAAGCTTGGTCAGTGGTGTCCATGGCATTAATGTGAGCAAGATTGGGGCCACGGAAGAGCTCAGTGGACCAAGGTCTTGCTTTGAGTTGGGAAGGTTCATCTGCATAACCTTTAGCTAGAGTGGAGAGGGCCATGCTGCAGCAGCATTGGGTGGGTGCTCAGCACTCTCCCGAGGCCTTGGTTTCTTCTCCTCAGTGGCTACAGAGCAGCTGCTAGCTGCCCTCAGGTGTGAAATGAGGCCCTGTTTCCTCTGGTCCACAGCCCTCCAGTTATTGCTATGTTAGGTTGCAATGGATGTGAGCTCACTGTTTCCCAGCTAGTCTTCCTGAGTAGTTTGCATGACAGAGCTCATTGGACTTTGCAGGGAAACCTGTGGTGCCAAGGCCAGAGGAGGAGCAGGGCCTGCACAGCATGTGTTCACACGTATGTTCACACGTGTGTTCACACGTGTCCCTGCAGAACGCTTGTGTTTGCACCTGTTTCTGCAGAGCATGTGTTCACACGTGGTCACATGTGTTCCTGACATACTGCCTGCTCTACTCAGAACCTTTGTTCTGGAGTTAAATGTTTTGACATGGCTGTTGGTCCTGAAAGCCTTAAAATGGCCAAGGGTTGGTTTTAGCTTCAGAAGCCAGGATAATCCATGCCGGGGAAGTGGTGGATAGTTTATATGGTAACCATAATCAGCCCCTCCCCCCATCTAAGAGCCACTGAATTGAACATCTTGTTTTATTTTTTAATTAGCGGAATGACTTTGTAAACTTGAAAATATAAAAATATGTTCTTTAAAAAAGAAGCAGTCTGGCAATAAGGCTCAGAGTTAAAAGCACTGGGTACTTTTCCAGAAGACCTGGGTTCAATTCTCAGCACCCACGTGGTAGCTCATTCTTGATTGTAATTCCCGCCTCAGAGCTTCTGACACCCTCACACAGACACACATGCAGGCAAACACCATTGACTATAAAATAATACAAATTAAGTCATTAAAAAAGAAAATAAATTCAACATAAACAAAGATAATGAAAAATTAATCTGATGAGATTACACAGAAGTTGGTTTCGTTCACTCTGTTTTTTTGTTGGTTTGTTTTTTTGTGGTTGTGGGGATTCCACCCAGGACCTCACTGTGTTTGATGATGTAGCACTGACCATCAGCCCTGATGGTCACCGTCTTGTGAAGTGGTAACAGCTCTACAGTGTTATCCACGTATCAGAACTTACAAAGTGACTGTTGTTCAACTGTTGCCACCTACACTCAGTGAAACCATTGAAGAGCCATTAAAATAAGATCAGATCCTCAAGCACAACCATAGTTGCCTCATTAGACATTGCTGTTGTTGTTAGTATTTTATTTTCCCTTCTAGAATGTTCTTGTTTATACCTCTAGAACATGACCAAGCCAAATAGATCTCGAGCCCTGCTCCACTGTGCCCCGCCCTTCCCCATCTAATGACCCCTGCCAACCCATCTGTAGACCCTTCAGCCGTAACTACTTTGCAAGGCTTTACCGGGCCGTTTAGGTTAATTGCGACTTCAATTTTGAAGTGCTGGACGTGGCAGGGGATGGTGTCGTGTGGGTGGAGTGCAGGTGGCTGGTCACCCCGAGCCCAGGCAACCTTCTAACTCTCTCCTGTTTGCTCTAGTGGCAGTGCTGTGGGGCTTTTGGAGCTGATGATTGGAACCTAAATATTTACTTCAATTGCACAGATTCCAACGCAAGCCGAGAGCGATGCGGTGTGCCGTTCTCCTGCTGCACTAAAGACCCTGCGGTAAGAGCAACGAGCTAGCTCCCTGCCAGCTACTGTGCCCTGTGCCCGGGGAGCTGGCTGCTGTGCCCTGTGCCCAGGGAGCTGGCTGCTGTGCCCGGTGCCCAGTGAGCTGGCTGCTGTGCCCGGTGCCCGGTGTGGGTGTGTCAGGGTGATCTTTGTCTTAAAATGTCTCCTCACAAGCTCATGCCTGATTGTAGCTCATATGTGGGGGTGCTGTGCACCAGTCTTCCCAGCCAAAACAGGATGGCTGGTATTCATTTAGTGTGTGTGTGTGTGTATGTGTGTGTTTGTACATTGGCTCACGGGAGGCCAGAAAAGGAGGTCTCTTTCTCAGGTGAAAAGAAACCATGGCATGTAGAGCACACGTGACTTATCCCAAATCACAGTACTGGCAGGTGACAGTTGGGCGCCACATCCAGGCAGCTTGCCTATGTCACTTGTCCCTCCTTTCTGAGAATGTGGGGCTTGCAGGTGATCCATCTGCAGTAGCTTGGGTTTATTAAGCCCTTTCCTCTCCTATGATTCCTGGGAAGAGAGTTAGGAGTAAGAGACGAGATTGAGACATGACAAAGTAGGAATGCTGCTTAGGGAGCCTCAGTGACCCAGAGGCTGGCATAAGGTTGGTAATAGCAGCTGCCGTTTGTGTTTTTCTTTAAAAAGAAAACACGCAACCTGCTCACAAGCCACTCCTTTTTAGTACATGCCATACTATGTGCATGGTTTGTAGAATGAAAAAAATAAGAGAAAGAGAACCTTCTGTATTGTAAGTGAAAAGCCAGAACCGAGGGTAGTGTGACCCGTGTGGGGAGTGGCGACTGCCCTTCTTGGACAGCTTGCCCTGGCCCGCAGTGGAGCATAGCAGGTGCAGACACTCCACAGGCACCCTCTCTTGCAAGGTCAGAAACTGTGGGACTCCTGCACAGAGGCTAGTGTTTTTTTTAGAGTCGGAGGGCAGGTCAGCCTGTGCCGAGCATCACTGAGAACTATGCCACCTGGCGGTGATCCCGTTCCAGCCATGTTGTCTTCCTCTGAGGCAGGTCGAGTGGCAGCAGGATGCCCAGCTTGAAGTCTGTGGTACCCACGCAGGCAGCTGGACACACGCTGCTGGCATCTTTCCTGCATCAGCTGTCCATGAGAAATCACAAGAGTCTCCAGGAGGCACTGGGCAACTGCAGATCCCTCATTAGGTCTCTCTCATTCCGTGAACTCCAAGCTGATGAGCTCCATCACTGATCCCCGGAGGGGAGGAAGCAGCTAACCCACAGTATTTCCAACCAGGTCGTGGAGATGTCAGGCTGCCTGTTTGATATTAGTAACAATGCATCTTCATGGAAACAGAAAAACTTTAAGTGATGGAATTTTATAGATCGAAAGAGACAAGCACTTACCTGGCATGCATGAGACCCTAGATCCACTCTGTAGCACTATTTTTTTTTAAGTAGAAACTGCCAAAGAGCTTTTTGTCCTTTCTGTTTGATTCTTGCCTATGTCTCTACCGTCCTCAACTCTTGGAGCTCTCTGAGGTTGGCAGTATTTCGAATCTTGTTCCTTCCCCTACCCCCGGAATAATGGACCTGCTAGAGCCTCAGTTTTCCTCATTTCTAAGGTGGAGAAGTTTTTACTGTATACTTCTGAAACTGCTCTCCTAAGCACATGGCATGTAATGCTCATGGCGTGTTGAACCCTGTGACCTCATCGGGTCTCACCACTGACACTACAGGGGCCCCTGTTCATTATCAGATGGGCTTTCTGTTGAACAAGAATGAGTTCCACTTTTCTCTCCCTTTCTTCCCCAGGAAGATGTCATCAACACTCAGTGTGGCTACGATGCCAGGCAAAAACCAGTAAGTGGAACCTGCCCTTGTGGCTTAACACACAGCGTGTTTGGAGGAACGTTCGCGCATGCGCAAGGCTGTATCTGTGACACTCTGCTCTCTTCCCTTGTAAAGGAAGTTGACCAACAGATTGTAATCTACACGAAAGGCTGTGTACCCCAGTTTGAGAAGTGGCTACAGGACAATTTGACCATCGTGGCTGGTATTTTCATAGGCATTGCATTGCTGCAGGTAAGACATGGGTCCTGGGAGGTATAGCTCAGACAGGGGTGCCCAGAGACACCTCACAGGGCAGCACCTTTGCTCAGTGCCAAAGCTTCTGAGACACACCGGAGGTCCTGGGAACAGACTGGAGCTATTAGGTTTGGTTTATTGAAGGAGGTCCAAATTTAGATCTGGAAACATGTTAAGAGGCATCCTTTTCACCAACAGAAGGTTGGTAGGGTCACTGGCATCTATCCCCTGTTTCCATGGGATTAGAGGACTGTGTTGTGACAGCTGGGGTAAACTTGGCTGCTCAGAATGGACCTCAGGAGCAAGGTTAAGGCTCTGTGGAGTTGCAGGAGTATGGCTGTGTCTTCGGCCTCTCTGGACCAGCTTGCCAGAGGGCCGGTGAGGGCAGTCTCAGGAGCCGACTTCTATTGATGTGATGGTTTCTGTGCTGGGTCACAAACAGGCACAGAGTAGAAGGAAATTTAAAAAGTCTCATGGATTATAAAACTCAGTATCATTCAAGTGGCTTCACTACTCACAATGATCTCAAGATTGTGTGTAGTCTGTGTCTCAGGTCCGGTCTTCTCATTCTCAGTTGGGCAAGCTGGGCCTGAAATCACACAGAGAAACCAGAAACCAGAATAGCCCAACAAGTTTGAAAAAGAACAGAAGATGTTACCTAATTAAAACTTACTACAAAGTAGCAAGATTCAAGACAGTCTTGTATTCTTGTAAGGTTAGCTATTATAGACAAACAGGGTTGAATTCCAAACACATCTGTGAGCTTTGCTTTGATAAGGGAATTAAAACTATTTAGTGGGGAATGGGAAAAAGGTTTCCAGGGATGGAAAAATGTCTCAGTGGTTAAGAGCATTGAATGCTTTTCCAGAGAACCAGGATTCAATTCCCAGCCCCCACATGATAGCTAACAATGGTCTTTCACTACAGTTCTAAGGGATCTTATATACACACTGTATGGATGTGGTATTCAGGCATGCTTGTAAGCAAAACACCTATACACGTTAAAAATTTTTTTTCACTAAATGGCGCAAGAAGACTGATTTTCTATCTGGAAAGACTTTTAGATAGCTATCTTATATCATATTTAAACATTCACTTAAAACAGATCAAAGACTCAAATATAAGTGTGGTATACTGTGTGTCTATAATGTAAGCTATTAAAAAAAGATTGAAGCAGGATGTTTTCTTAAGACCACACCACCAGCCTGGCCTTCTTAGTTGGACTGGCGTAAAAAACAAATGAACAAAACTCTCCATTTAAAGCCAAAGCGGTGAAACTCTAGAAGAAAACAAGGTGTAAGTTGGACAGTTACCTTATAAGAACAATGATGGCAAAAATATAACCACCTAGTAAACCACAGATAATGGGACTTCATCAAAATATTAAATTCCTACTGAAAATGATGCCACCTGTGGTTACTCACAAAACAACAGAAAACATTTGCCAGCCCTTACTTGAAAGGGATCTTAATATCTAGAATATATGAAAAGGGCTTTTATTAAACAACAAGAAAAAAAAAAAGGCCAGCCTGAGCTACCTAGAAAGACCCAGTTTAAAACTGAAGTATCTCATGAGACATTTCTCCAGCAAAGATAGACCTGGCCCATTACATACGAGATGTCAACAGCATTTGCCGTTAGAAAACTGCAAGTCAAAACTATGATAACCATTGCACACACACTGGGGTAGCTATGAAAAAAAAGATCTGGAGGGAGGGGACAGAAATGGTTCAGCTCTTTGGAAAATAAATACAGAGTTGCTGTACAATGTTCCATGAATGCAGGCAAAAGGAGTGAAGTTACATTTAGCAAAACATTTGCACACACGCGTGTTCATAGCAGCAAGCATTGGAAACAATGAAGACTTCGTCAGTGGATTTTAAAGACCTTGGTATGTACTTACAATAGGGTTAGTACTCAGCCGTCAAAAAGGAACGAACTGACAGGTGTGGTGAAACATGCCCGTCTGCTGTCTCAGCTCCAGAGAGACAGAAGGATGACAACTTAGACTATCCAGGAACACCCTGTCTCAAGAGCAAAGCAAAACCAATCGAATGACTGGCTGGACATTTCTTTGCAAGAGTCACCAGTTTCTCTCTTCAGCTGCTTCTGTATAGAACCCAGCATTTATTCCCCCCCCCACACACACACATACACTCCCTGTCTTCTCAGTGCCCTGGGAGTGCCCCAGGGTCTCACCATCCCCACCTGCCTCAGAACTGACCTACCCACTCAGCCTGGAGCCTTCCCTCCTGTGTTTCCTGCCTCCTACTGTGACCTCCTTGGTAGGGATTGACACTCTCCTGGGGAGAGAGAGAGGAGGGAGTTGCAGAGCTGAGGACATTGCAGACCCAGTGGAGTGGTGGGGTCAGTCTTCAGAAAGTAGCAAACTTGACCTCAGCAGGGAGGGCTGGGCAGGTGCAGCAGGAGGCACATGGGTCAGATAGGCAGTTCATCAGCAAAACTGTTCCCCTTTGTGAGTGCCGTTGAGGTTTACTTCCTGAAAGAGCAGGTGAAATCCATAGATGGGTTGGGTGGCTGAGCTTCAGACTGCCTTTCCCATATACACGTGTGACGTCCCCGGTCACCACGGCAGGGCGTGCATGGTGAGGGTCCATCAACTTTCTGTACATCATATCAAAACATTCACTTAAGTTCTTCAATTTGGGTCATATAAATAAGGGAAATTGGTAGTTGGGTCATGAAGTTTTACAACACTGATCAATACCTTGCAGAACAAGAAAAGAGATTTTTTTTTTGGTCTCATGGTGGAGAAAGCATAGAGGCCAAAGCAGCTCAGAAGCAGAGAACAATTTTGTCACTGTCCCTAGCAACCCGCTTCTGCTCACTAAACTACAGTCTCAAATGTCTTAGGACCGCCCTAAACAGGGCCACTAGCCGGAGACTACGTATTCAAACCCATAAGATTGCTTGGACTTCACATTCAAACAGGACCAGGGGGCGAACCTGGAGAACATTTTGCTACATGAAAAATGGGCACCGCATTCTTACTATGTGATACCGTCTGCATGCCAAGTCCAGAACAAAGCATAGAGAGGGAAAAGGTGGATGGGAGCTCTGCCGGCCACTGGAAGGGTTGGATATAACTTCTCTCGGTACAGGCTGAGCTTGGGGGCAGGGAACATCTTCTGCATTTAGTACTGAAGAGCTAGTCATGGTAAAATTATGGATTTCATAGGATATTAATTGCACATCGGTTTTTTTTTTTCTACCCACTCTTTTTCCAGTGGTTGTTTTTGAGACAAGTCTCGTGTATCCCAGGCTGGCCTAGAACTTGCTATGGAGCGGAGGATGGCTTCTACTGTGCCTGCCCCTGCCTTCTCGAGTGCTGGGATTACAGATGCCTACAGTTGTGCTTGGTTCCTGTAGTGCCAGGCATAGAATGCAGGTTTTGTGTATACTAGGCAAACCCTCCACTGACAGAGCTACAGCATCTCCATCCTGTGCATCGACTTAGGAATTAGATTCCCAAACAGGGAGTGGGCAGAGCCAGTGGCCACGGAAAAGCCAAAATCCCACCGTCTCACTTGGCTTTCTTTCCTCTCTTAGATTTTTGGGATATGCCTGGCCCAGAATTTGGTGAGTGACATTGAAGCTGTCAGGGCTAGCTGGTAGAACCCCGCGGCCCCTGCTGCAAGACACTGGACTGACTCCTCACTGACCCTCCTGTGCTGGCCGATGGCGGGCTGCAGGGACCCAGTCACCGACCTGCAGCCCCACCTCACGGAGCTGCCAAGGACTTACTTTCTGTGGGGGTAAAACTGGGAAATGCTGCTCACGGACGGAACTTCTAAAAAGAAAACCGGAAGAGTGTGAGAGCCGCCGCCGAGTCCCTCGCTGTGCTGTGACGGGCAGACGGACGGATGCTACCAGAAAGGGAAAGGGGGTGGGGCGGGCGCTGCATGCACTTGAATCTGTGGAGAAGACAGTGCTGTCCACTTTTTGGCTAAAACTTACCCCTGACCCCACCCCCCAGGGCCAAGTGTTTTGAAATCTCTCAACACACATTTCCAGAAACTGTTGGAACTGCCCTCTGGAGAAGGAAACAGCTGTCCCCTGTGTTCAGATGTTGAGATGGGTGGAAGGGGTCACGTCCAGGGCGCACACTCTGGAGAGCCCCGTAAGGAAGCCAGGTGTTTGGGTGCAGCAGGTTAGGGTAGCAGACATTGTGGTCCACGTTTCTGCAGGACTGATCTTTCCTCTGAGAGGCCAGCCTGAGCTTTAGCAGTGACACCCAAGGAGCAAATGAGGTTAATGAGAGGCACCAACTATACACCCTCACCCCACCTTACCAAACTAGTGCTTGGGTTCTTCAGATACTCTGGAATACTCTGGGCTGCGTTTCTGTGTTTTGTTTCTTTTTTATTGGTTGTTATTTTGGTTCTTGTTGTCTCCCAAAGGCAAAGGCTATGATACAGTCCTGCGTAATGTTTTCTTACTCAGCTTAATAGTGAGTTTGTGTAGAACCCTCACCTGCATGCGCTGTGACCCTGAATCCACCATGTTGTTTTCCCGTGAGACGTGAGAGCATTCATCAGCGTTTATGTCCTAGGTCCCCAGCCTTGGGTGGTTGTGGCATGTTGTCCTAGCCATGTCTTCAGATGCCCCGTGGGCTCACTGTCTCTCCCGACATCCAGCTCAGCATTTTAAATTACGTCTTCCTCACTGAATGATATAATGCCCAGTTCCAAAGCAGGGCTGACATAGTCAAAAGGCATTTAACGATGGTTTTCTGCTTCTTACAATTTTAGTTTTGCCATATGTTTAAAAACAAGACAAAACAAACCTAGTTTAGTGCACGGCCAGAGCTCTGTCCTCTTGAGGTGGCCTCAGGGTAGTATCAAAGCACAAATACTTGAGGGGCTGCACTGAGGCCCAGCTGGGGTTCTGTGACGCGAGGTGGGAAGCCATCTTCAGGTCCTTCTGCCTCATGCCCACTGGGTGGGTGGGTTTTGGCCCCAGATTTTCACCCAGCTTGTGATATCCCCTGGGTATTGCTAGCATGGGGACCGGTTTTAGACCGTGGGTTTCTGGGAAGACTGCATTTGCCAGCTAGCTTTCTGAGAGCAGGTTTAGCGAGGCTTTCTGTTTCCATGACACGTGCATCACTGACGGACAGTCTGCTCAGAGGGAGGGCAGGCACTCCCTTAAGGTCCCATCTCCGCAGTTTGGGTGTGTGTGGCTCTGCATGTATGTATCTGTGTCTGTTGTAGGTAGAGATAGTCATTCCATATGTGGACGCGAGGTCACGTGACCTCGCCTCTGTCCATACCGTCGTTTGTGATGTCTTTCAACATGGACACTTGTGCTCTCGGATCGGCACTCTGTCTTCTTTATTACCTCATTCTCCAGTGAACTGCATCTGGCCAGTTTATTCAGAATCAGGCAAGATCCCCACGCTGTGGTACACCAGTGAAAGCCAAGCCACAAGCCCAAGTGAGTTTTAAATTTTAATCACCCTTTATTTTTTACACTCGAGAGTGATTGTAATAAAAGCTGTCGTTAATAAACTTGGTTCTACCTTACCCAGGATTATGGCGTCTTACTTTTCTCAGTACTTCTCACACGCTATTGTAAAACATTCTGGAATGGCTGGTAAAAACACAAAAGGCCTGGGCCAGAGGGATAGCTCATTTGTAGTGTGCCTGAAACTTTGGGGTTCAATCCCCGGCCCAACACCTACCACCATGCCCAGAATCCCTCAGGAGGCAGGTCGGAATGGACCTCAAGGGGCACCACTGAGTTCCAGAGATGCAGATGAAATCACAAGTAACACCTTCAACCCTGGGAGGAAGGGGAGACATGGTTGAAGGGGCTGAGTTGTCCTCTATTTGTTATAGACACCCTGGGAACTTTGTAAAACACATTTCTGACCTTGACCTTGCTTTATGAACATTTCATGACAATGGACCTATATAAAAGTTAGTTTTTATAAAAAAGTAATTGCCAGTAGACCCGTGAAGCTGTCATCTTAACTCATGGGAAAACACCAGCTTACGTGTCTATTGTGAATTATTATTTTAAGAACAAATGGGAACAAAACCTCCCATTTCATGTAGTTCTAACTCTAGGAACGGGCAGAACAATGTGTTCTACGATGTGAGAAGTGTTGTGCCTCATTCCCCTGGATATAGGAAACAAAAGTACTTTGATTTTGAGGAAATTTGTTCATGACTAAAACTGGGCAAGCCCTGCTATGTCCCTAATTATCTGATGTTATGGGGCCTGGCCATTCTCCCCATGCTCTGCCAGCAGAGAAAGATTCGAGCTACAAGGATGCCTTGTTGACAAGGCTCAAAACTATAGCAGAAGTTTCTTCCTTGTTCTAAGTAGATCCTAGACTTTAGGGGAAGGTTACCAAATTTCTTTGTATTTCTATCGTTTCCTGGTTCTAACAAGGATTGCCTCTGTAATATAAAAAAAAATGTTCTATTCAAAAAGAACAGTAAAACCAACGCATCGGAGAGTACTGGTTTTCCCAGGGTCTAACCCCTTGGCATTTCTTTGGGCTCTCTCCTGCCCCATGTCCCAGGCTATTCCTCTCCAAGAAACTCTTAGAAGGGATCCTGTCCAAGTTTTTGCTTCTTTGGAAAAGCAATTGATCATGGGGGCGCGGGGGGCGGGGCGGAGCTGGTGTTTGCGTGGCAGGAACGGAATCACTTTGCAGTGTGTGGCTCTCCCAGCTCCTGTTTCCGGCTCTCTTGGAGAGGAGCCCTGGGAAGTGGGTGGGCTGAACAATGAGGGTCGGAGCCCGGGGACCTGGCAGGCCTTCCCCAGAAAGCTGTGTCGGTTTACACATCAGTGCTTGCTCCTTCCCTTGGGAAATCTATGCAGACCTCCAAGGAAGGACTGGGAGTCTGTCCATAAACACTGGCCACTGCGGCCAGCACACTGGGGCGGGGGACGGCGACAGTGAGGTCCTGCCATACTCAACAAGTGGAAACCAAGAAACCATCGAGAACAAACAGGGCTGCTTTATGACTTTTAGTGGAAACATGACGGCTTTGGGCACAGGAGGGTGGGGAGGAGAAACTAAACTCCAAAGCCGCCTTAAGTTTTTCCTTGGCATTTGTTTGCTTTGTTTGTTTGAGAGACCGGCTATAAAGGTAGCGTCTTCATGCTGCGGTTTTAGCAGATTCTTGATTTGAGGAATTACTTATGACTTTCCTCTGGAGACTTGCTGCTCCCTTGTAAACATCCTGGGAAAGTCATCTGTCCCCTCCCAGTTAGCCTGAGCTAGACCCCCCTGGTCTTACACCTCCGCTTCAAGGAACGGGCGCTAAAGCAAGCGCACAGAGGAGCAGGTGAACTCATGGGTTTACTCGGTGGGTACGGAGATTCCAGTGCGAACCAGGGCCCAGCAAGACAAGCTGCACCTGTGGCGGTCACCTCCCTGAACCTGCTCGCCGATTAGAACAGAAAAGTTTTAGTGGCGCGCCCTCTAGCGTCGGCCATGGAGAACCACAGCTGGCTGGAGTTGGAGGAGGAGGTTCCTATGCAAGCTCCCTTGCACAGTTGGGAAATGATGCTGATGGCGGGTGCCTAGGGAAGGCCGGGGCATTCCTTCATCCTCTTGAAACCCGGGGCGCATTCTGGGAACCTGGGGAACAGAAATTTTGTTCTCATCAATATCCGCGCACTGATCCTGCCGCTGGTGTTTTATTACCTTGGTGCGGCAGGCTTGTACAAGCCTGGTGGAAGCTGGCCCTGCCTCCTGTGCAGTTTCTAGAAGGCAGTGTGGTCACCAGGTGTTTATCTGCCACTCTGGAGGTACTATGTCTTCCGGGCACGTGTCATCCCGGTGGAAGGTGGCATAAGCTGCAGCCTCTCCCAGGGCTCAGAAACCCCCATCCCCACCCCACCCCCAACTTAAGAGGTTTGTGTGAGGCGAGATCCCAGGTCCTAAGCTGCACCGCAGTTCTTCAACATAAACTATCCAGGACAAAGGAGCAGACTTTGCTGACCTTTCCTCTAAAACCGTGACCGAGGGGTCTGGTGGAGCTAGCTTTGTTTTGAGGATTTCTAACTTTTGTTATTTGGGTTTTTGTTTCTTGGCTTAAGGTCTTAACAGTAACGTCGACAGGCCTGGTACTTCTTGTTCTTTGTCTTAGTCTGCCTTCAAACTTGCAGCAATTCCCTTGTATCAACCTTCCAAGAACTGTGATGACAGCCCTCATGCCATCTGGCTACAACCTTGATTTAGAGAATGTAGAAACCATGCTTACATCCTAGGAGTTTATCATGGCTTACCCTGCATCTTTTAATGTCTCACGCCCTGAGAGTCTAAACAGGAACTCAGACACTGGCCCAAGGAGTGCAGGGAGTCCTCTGGAAGGAAGGCAGATTCAGGTAGTATGTCCATAGTCCTAGGAGCGCCAAACTTGACAGCAGCTACCAGAAACTGGGAGTCACAGGAAACACACGGTTCTAGCCTCTGGAACTCTGAGGGAACAAATGGCCTGTTGAAACCATCTCATTGGTGCGTTTTTTCCCCCTGACGGGGTAAGACAGAGCACATTGCCTATTGCTTGAAGGCTGCAAGCTAGATGCTTTCCCTGGCAGCAGGAGTGCCCGTGTTCTCATCTGTTGAGTGGAGGCAGCTGTGGTGCATGCATGATGTCAGCCTGCTTTATGCTCCTGTAAAGTAAGTCTCGTGCTTTCTGGTTTTGCTAAGATAGGGTCTCAGTATATACCTGGGACTAGCCTTAGGTTTGCTGTGTTGATTTAGGTTGCTTGGAACTCATTCCTCCTGCTATGGCCTCCCAAGTACTAGAATCCTTGCTATGTACCGCTATGCCATCTTTTATGGGGTACTTTAAATAAAGAATGCATTATTATATTTAAGGTTATGGTGGTGCATTTTGTATTTATTTGAAGCAAATTCTCTTAAATGCTACCTGCTGTGATAATTAAAATCACATAAATAAAATGTTAATAAATCATCTGTGCCTTTTGTAGTCCCTCGTGTTGTTACTGACTCTCAATTGCAAGCAGCTGGTGGGGTGAACGACTTATCTGTCCCTTGAGCCAACAGCACACAGCCACACGGTTGCTCTATTCCAGGTTGCACGGTTGGGAAAATATGCTCTATTCCAGGTTGCATGGTTGTGAAAGTATGCTCTATTCCAGGTTGCACGGTTGTGAAAGTATGCTCTATTCCCGGTTGCACAGTTGCGAAAGTATGCTCTATTCCAGGCACTGCCACAGTTCTCAGGTAAAGTTTCAGAGGTGGAAACCAGAGTGGAATCTCCACGGGCTGAGGGTCTAGATGTGGTCATAGCTAACCTGCTATCTTTCCAGGGAAGAATAGACTTCAAGGGTTCAAGAGGGGAGAGGTAAAAGTGGTAAGTCCTGGACTGCGGGGAAGCTTAGTTATCGCGGGCCTATGATTTCCAGACTCCGGGGAGTAAGGTCAGGTGTGGACCATGGAGGGGGTGTGGGGCACGGGGCAAAGGAAAGAGGAAGTGTGGAACCAACGGGCTGGTGGCGGTGATTTCGTTTGCAGTAGTTTTCCATACAACGTGATAGTGAGGGAACAAACTCACTGTGTCACAGGAATATTTTAAAAACAATCCCAAAACAACGGCTAGGGTTGTCCACCACAGCCTGTCGTTACAGGTAAAAATAGCAGTCTCGACACTCATCCCACTCAGTCGTCACCACGCTTACTCAGCACACCTGCAATTAAGTGCGCTCCTGGCTCTGCAGGGCAGGAGGCAAGCTCGCTCTAGTCTTGGCGGGCATGAGGGAAGCCAGCTGCTGTGGCTTGGATGACTGTATCCTTGAACTCTTTCTGTATTCCACAAACACAGCTGACTGGACAAGGGGGAGCTCACCCAGACTCCATGAATGTGGTGTCAGTGAGGAGACCTCAGAAATCTCTGGGGCCTTGGGTAGAAGATCAGGGTTTAGCATGGCGTATGAATAATCTTTGGGAGCTCATTCCACATGGAGGGATGTTCTCTCAGCCTGGACACATGGGGGAGGGCCTAGGTCCTGTCCTGGATGAAATGACAGACTTTAGAGATCCTCCAAGGAGGGCCTCACCCTTCCTGGAGAATGATGTGGGGATTGGGTGGGGGCTGGTGGAGGGACAAGGGAGGAGGGGTGGGAACGGGAGCTGGGATTGACATGTGAAGCATGCCTGCATGTTTCTAATTTAAGTAAAAACATATATTGAGAAAAAAATTTCTGTATTAAAAGTGATTCCAGACTTGAGGGATGGCTCAGTGGCTAAGACCACTTACTGGTCTTGCAGAGGAGTGGGGTTCAATTCCAAGAAGAGTGGGTACAAACCATCCGTAACTATAACTCCAGTTCCGGGGACTGTGACCCCTTCTGACCTCTGCAGACACCAGACACACCAGGCACACAAGATGAAGACACACACAATGCATTTACAGGCAAAATACTCACAAAACAGCAGAGAAAGGTGTCTCTAGTGAAGCATAGTAGGGGGAGGAGCTTCAGGAGACTGGTGCACGCACGAGGACTCCACGTCTTAACTGGGCTGAGTGCCTTTCTGAAGGGGGCTTGGGGGCATTTGTTCCTCCCTTCCAGCGAGTGCAGAGGCCTGGATCTCCGCTAGACACCGAAGCTTCAAAACTTCAGTTGGACTCCACTGCCTCCAGAACTGTAAGCGATTCTCTTCTGCTGTCTGTAAAATGCCTGGCCTACAGCACTCATATTTGTAGTGTGAGTGGACTAAGCCTCTGTTCGCCACCGGCTTCCTTCGGCCGGCTGAAATTTCTGGGACCCAGGAACTGGCAGGGAGGTTGGCACATGTAGCACATGTAGTGGATGCTGGAGCCACAGGCTTCTAAGAAGTGGTTATTGGAGGCTTCAGTTTTATCTTTGTAAAGGTTGAAACCAAGATCCTCAAGTGCCGTTTTCTGGATGTATGGTAGAGTCAGCTGGGAGCAGATCATCCCAGCATTCCTCCCAGGCCTGTCTTTCTGAGCTCCCAGGTGCAGGCAATGCTCTGTCAGGAGCAGGTTCTGGGCACAGGTTCTGACTCAGCAGTTCTTGACTGGGGATGGAGAGTCACAGCTCTAGCAAGCTACATGACGTGCAAAGTTTTATAGGAAAAAGTAATTGAAATGTATTTTTTATTTTTTTTTACATTTTGTGTGTGCATGATGGCAACAACTTGTGGGGAATTGGAATGGGTTCTTTTACCAGGTGGGTCTTGGGGATCACACTTTGTCAGGATGGGTGGCAAATATCTTTACCAACTGAACTATTTTGGTATCTCCAAAATTAACTTAATTTTTTTAATTGTGTGTGTGTGTGTGTGAATGCAGTACCTGTGGAGAGTAGCAGAGGCCAGTTGATCTTCTGGAGCTGTAGTTACAGGTAGCTGTGGGTACTGGGAACTGAACTAAGGGCCTCTGGAAGAGCAACAATACATGCTTTTAATCACTGAATGATTTCTATCCCCTGCCCCAATAATTTTTAAGGCTTTGTAGTTAAAAAGGGGACAGCTGTGAGTGTAGTTCAGTGGTTGGGTGTGTTCATAGGATGTGCAAGGCTCTTGATTCAATTCAAAGCATTGAGAAAAAAATTAAGGAACAACTATTTTAATGTATTTTACTCAAACCATGTTAGCATTGCTGCCAACCTAGTACAATATCAGGGTGCCCATTATACCAGAAGTCAAAATCTATCTGAGATAGGCAGAGTGGTTCCTGAGAATCTCCGAGGGACTGGGGCTTGCCCCCTTAATCCATACCAGAATCTGCTGATGTTCAATTTTTTTTTTTTTGGTTTTTATGAGACAGGGTTTCTCTGTATTGTTTTGGAGGCTATCGGTCCAGCCTGGCCTCGAACTCACAGAGATCCGCCTGCCTCTGCCTTCCGAGTGCTGGGATTAAAGGCATGCGCCACCACCGCCCAGCTGATGTTCAATTTTTAATAAAGCAGTAAAATGTTGGTGTTTAAATTAGATGTAGCTCTTTGTGAGTAATCTCTCAAGTGCTTACCACATGCCATACAGTGTAAATATTATACACGTGGCTAGACTGTAGTCTTTGGGGATAATAAAAGAAAGGGTCTACTTGTTCACTACAGACGTAATCTTGTGTATGAGCTTCCAGTGGTTGAGTGGTTGTCTCAGCAGAAATGGAGACACACACACACACACACACACACACACACACACACACACACTGTCTCTCAGTCTCTCTCTTCCTGTCCTCCTCAGTCTCACACACAGACATGTTCTCTCTCTCTCTCTCTCTCTCTCTCTCTCTATCTCTCTCTCTCTGACACACACACACACACACACACACACACACACATCTCCTCTCAGTGCTCTCCCCAATTACTTGGATGGGGTATGAGGAAATAAGAACATAACCAGAACACTAGGCATGGTGACACATGCCTATAATCCTAGCCCTGAGGAGGTGGAGGCGGGAAGTTCAGGAGTTCAAGGTCATCGTTGGCTATATAGCAACTTCAACGTCAGCTTGGGCTACACGAGACCCTAACTCCTTCATATAAGAAAACGACTCTTCAGAGTATGTTGTGTCTTTTTTAGAAAAGAGTATCTGAGGCTCTGACTTCAAGTCCCAATTAAATTTCTGCTGTTTTCTTGAGTAATTGCTAATGCCAACGCTCAACGTACATCTTTTGAACCTCATGTATGCCAAACATTCTGCTCATTTCTAGGGTATGAGAAGGTCAGGAAGGCATTCAAGTGAGTCAAACAGGGCTTCCTCCTGCTGTGCTGCAAAAAGGGAACCTTCAACATATTAATCTCACTGTCGCCTGTCGTGGCCAGGCCACTTTCTTCTGCTCTCGGGGCCTGCCCTCAAGAGGTGTGGCAGCAGTAATGCCAATTTGATATGGTCTCTGCAAAGGTGAAAAGAGTTCAAATGTTCTTACTCTTTAAATCAGATTAGAGCCTCAGCCTGTCCTGAAGAGCTTTCTCAAGGAAGTCCTCTGAGCTCTGTTACCCTGGCCCCAATATGGGCTTCTGTGATTTTTTTTTTAACTCCATCTTTTCTGTTAGAATGAAGGCCCGGCAGACCTGGCCTGTGTTGCTAACCTCTGTGTCAGTAGCATTCCAGTGCTGTGGATTGGGACCATTCCCAGTAAAACTGACATGAGGCATCCTGATTATTTTGCTGGAAGGCAGTTTTTGAGGGTCAGCAAGCTCTCTGACAGATCCAGTGTCTACTTAGACCAACACTTGGAGCTGCTTGCTAGGAAGTCTCTTCACACAAAGATGTGACAGTTTTCTTGGCAAGTCAGAACTCAGTGACTCCAAAACGGGTAGAAGTTGAACAATGGTCCATGCACACTGGCTGTTGACCATCTCATTTTTTAGGTGGGCATTTTTTTTGAGACAGGGAGTCCTACTATATACCCCAGGAGGGCCTAGAACTTGTGATTCTTTTGCCTCAGCTTCCCATGGGCTGGGGTTATAGACAGGAACTACCACACACAGTTTTCTATGAGAATTTTGAGGATTGCGTGAATGCTGTTGGTTTTTAACAGGCCAGTGTTGTCTTAGGGTTTTCATTGCTGTGAAGAGACACCATGACCATGGTAACTCTTATAAAGGAAAAAGTTTCACTGGGGCTGGTTAACAGTTCAGAGGTTTAGTCTGTTATCGTCATGGTTACTGACTTGCAGGCAGGTGTGGTAATGGAGAGGAGCTGAGAGGTCTAATCTTGATCCACAGGCAACAGGAAGTTGACTGTGTCACTGGGCATGGCTTGAGCATGTATGAGACCTCAAAGCCTGCCTCCACAATAACACACTTCCTCCAGTGAGGCCATACCTCCTAATAGTGCCACTCAGTATGTGGCCATTTTCTTTCAAAGCACCACAAGTGCTTTTCCACTTAGCACAGAAAATGGGTAGACTCACCTTTAGAACTGTAAGTAATCCAGCTTCCCGGTTCCAGTTTCAGGAATTTGATTCCCCAAAGTCTGCAGTTGGCATTATGAGGGAACACTAATGCAGCCCAGAGACAGAGCAAGAAGGCACCCAAGAGCTTGCTGTGTCTATAGAGCTTGCCTGTCCAAGGTTGAACCAAAGCCCTGCCCCCTGGCTAACACCCCTGCAGATCCCCTGCACTGCTCCTCTCTGCCTAGAAAGCCACCTATTGCCATGTCCTCCTCAGGAATGACTACCATCTTCTGCCCTGGAGTTCCACAGCAGCCTTCTCTCGGCTGTGCTCCTGCCAGTCCTGTCTGTGAGAGGCACTAGAGACTGGGAAGCAGTCGGAGCCTGCCCTGCTGCCGGTTCTCAAGTCAGCAAGCCTCAGTGTTGTAGACGGTGAGAGAAGCTTCCTGGGCTAGAACGGATCAGTTCCTCAAGAAATGTGTTTGGCGTTTCTGTAATCCTCCCCCAGCCCCAGGCCCACTGGGAACTGTGACCCAGGTGGGTGTGTATATGCACTAAGCACCTAGAGTCTAGGAAGCCCGGTCCTATGAAAGAGTCTGCAAACAATCTTGTCCCAGTTTTGCCCACAAGAGACTTTGTTATTTGCCTGTATATTAAAAAACAAAACAAGAACAAAAAAACTGTTCTTGGTTCCAGGGAGAGGCTGTATCTCTTACACAAGGCTGCTTGCTATCTAAATGGCCTTGAAAAGAACTTCAAATAAAAGCTTTCTGTCTTTTCACAGAAGTACAGAAACACAAGACACCCAGAAGAATTGTTTCCCTGGATGAGGCACATCCCTCCCTCCCTCCCGCCACCCCATTAGCAATAATTCTGGTTCTGGAACAAAACGCAAATGAAATCTGCCAATCATCTGTTCAAACCCCGTGGTTTTCCCCACAGTATATAAGAAGGCATTAAGACACATCTAAGATCCCACCTGCTTTCCAAGTCTGGTCCTTTGTTTCCACCCCTCCCCCCCCCCCCACCGTGCGGATGCTAAGAGCCCAGAGTCACCTCTAGTCATATGTTACTGTCTGTGCCTCTCTTAGCAGCCAGACTTAATGGTTCCTATCTCCTCCTCCTGCAGTCACCAGCCAGTGGTTCTCCGATGTCAGGTCAGGAAGGTGGCCTTTGGTGGTTTTCTGCCCTTGGGAGTGAAATCTGGGAGTTCTAGGTTCAACGGCTGTGACTATAGGCAGAACAAGATCATTAGCCTTATGGCATCCTCCTCCAAGGGCAGGGTCCCTCTGGTTCTTGAATGCGCCTAACACCTAGGTTCTCTCTAACTTCCTCTCCCTGGTTCTTTTCTCTCTCTCTCTCTGTCTCTCTCCCTCCCTCCCTCCCTCTCTCCCTCCCTCCCTCCTTCCCTCCCTCCCCCTGGTTCTTATGTCAACCCACTTCGTCAATGCTGGCAAGTAGGGAGGGCTGTTGTACTTATGGGGCTCGTGTCAGCGTCTTTAAGTCCATGATTAAAAAAATAAAGCAGTAGTTCCCTTTTTGGGGATTTATATTTCTGGGAATCGTAGCACGGGTTTGGCAAACTGGGAAGGTAGGAGTTTTCCAAGCTTGTCATATTGTCTCCAGAACAGAACTGGAGTTCCATAATCAAGGAGGTCAGAGAAGGATGTTGAGTAAACACCATGTACCATCACTGTCCCTTCACGCCGCTCCCTGGTGCCAGGTGTCCTCTACATAGAGCGGGCAGTGGGTGAGGAGCTTGGGCACTGTTCCTGACCTGGGCTGGCCAATCAGGAAACCGGCTTTGACAACTGCCCCTGTGTGATGACCACCTTCCAGCCTGGGTGCCCTTCGGTAGCTTGAGGCTTGGAGCATGATGTCATTTCCTGAGCCTGCTAGGTCTTCTCTGGGTGCTGCGCACCCTCCTATGTCCCGATGCCACTGAACAGCAGGGTGTCCTCTTCACTGGGGCTTTGGCTGGATGTGGAACAAAACTTCTGATTTGTTTAGCCGTTTAATACGAGGAGGCCTGTTTGCCTAGGGCTGCCTAT